TGTATTGTGTTTGACAAGAGGACATTAATTCTCAACGTGATATCATACTTGGTTTTGTCTGTATCCATTCTATGAATACATGCCTTGTGACCGATAATAGACTACATAAAGTAATTGAGTATTTAGAGAGAACTCTATATGCTATGATATCTGACCACCCAGATTGTGACATTATTCTACCAGGTGACTATAACGCGAGCACTGGTACTATGAATGACTACATAATCGATGTAACACATATATTACAAGCTTAGAGGATATGGACTATGTTTCTGATTCATTTAACACTACTCGCAATTCCAGAGATGATTTGTAATGACTATGGAAGAGACTTGATTTATTTGTGTTGTACATTTGCAGTACATATAGTTAATGGACGATTCACAGGTGACGAACATGGGGCATATACATGTTTTAAGGAAAACGGCGCAAGCCTTGTTGACTATGCATTGTGTTCATATAACGTTTTCCATCGTATTACAGACTTTAAGGTCGACACCCGCTCTGAGTCTGACCATTTTCCTATCATAACTACTTTTAATGTTAGGCGTGTAAAGGTATCATTTGAGCATGATGAAGTGAATGTGAAATGTGATTATGATGTTCCTAACTTTGTCTGGAGAAAGGAAAGATGTGACGATTATATGCGTAATGTGTCTGAGTCTCTTACATCCCTTGATGTTGATATGTTCACTAGTATACTGCAGGAAAGTGTTGACTCTGCTGTGGAGGTGCACACTGGGGGTGATGCAGAATGGTGCTGTATCGTGTGGTCTATCGTCTCGTGGTAGCAGGTCTAGCGGTGGATCAGTGGCTAAGTGGTTTGATAAGGAGTGTAGGGATATGACGGCTGATAAGTTTAGTGTACTGGATGATTTTAGATTGACTGGGAATAAGGCTGTTCTACCGGGGTATTGCAAACTGAGGAATAGCTACAGATTGTTATGTCGGAGGAAGCGAGAAGTGTACGAGGAGTCAATTTTGGATATCTGATTTTTAAATGTGGTTTTGCCGACCTGTAACCGTAGAAACAGTAAATAGTCCTGACATTTTATTCTGCGTTTATTAGGCATATAAAATACTTTGTGGACGGATACTTTGAACCAAAATGTCTCTCCAGATTTAATATTTCTAGCACCTGACGTATATTTTTGCTTATGAAATTGCAAAATCTTGTTATTGAAACAGAAATAGTTGCTATTAATTCTGTTGGTCTTATTTTAAGAAATCACAACAAAAATCATTTGGGTTATAGTGCTATGGTAATGAACATTCAGCTGGAACTGGTATGAATATTTGAAGTCAAATTTACACCAGTTGAACCACCAAAGTGAATACAGTCAATGGCGTCTATCCAACTGGACTGGTTCGATGTTTGTGCTGGTGGAGTGGAATTTCCAAGATTCATCACAAGCTCGGCAACAATTTAAGTACGTCAACAAAATTCCAGGGTAATTTTTCCTACATGTTCTTGAAGTGAGATCACTGGAAACGTTTGATCTGGGTTTTTTGAGACAGACTTATGTTTTGATTAATATTATGTGAATCACAGTGTGAATGTTGCATCTTATTTAGCTAAGTTTACCAAATTGTCGGGTTTTGGGGTGGTTTTTTTGGACAGTTTGAACAGGTTGTTCTGTCTGGACATTCCTTTTTTCTCCGAGACACCAATTAATGATATTCTTAACTCCAGATCCAAGTATGGAAGATTTCTATAAACTGATCTAAACTTACCGGACGCTTAGTACTCTCAGTTCAAAAACTTTGAAATAGAAGCAAAACATTGTCACAACTGGCGGTGATGTCATTTATTCAGTTAAAACAAATAAATAATTTGCAACCTGAAACCAGTATGCTTATTCCGTTGAGGTTATATTAAAGTCAGCATCTGTTTCCGAAGCCACAAGTATCATTATCCAAACCATACCACACAATGCTTTGTATCTAACCCTCGATCATAAGAATTTACAGTTAATGAATGAAGTATTTATCATTACTCACAGTGACATGATCCATATTAACTGTAGCCATTAATATTTTCACAATTACGTGACAGATACAAATGGCTAGATTGTATTAAAGCCAAGGAGACCGATATCGCTGCTCATAGCTATATCTATTTATTATGTTCATAGTTTTATTATATGTTATATTTATTTTTATGTTTATGTTTTCTGTTTCTTTTGAATTGATATCGATTAGTTGGTAAACGATGCCTTGTTTAATTAAAGTGATGAGTCCGCCCTTTGGGAGTCCTTTGATGTTTGTGTTTTTCTCTTTTCTGATGATATTGTATTGTGGAAAATATATTGATTTTCTTGTTGATATTCTGTTTTTTTTGTAGAAGAATTATATCAGGTGAAATTACGTTTTTGTTAGCGGAGCTTTGAATTCGTTTTAACGGGCGTTTAGCCCGTTGCAGTTCCACTGTAATACACTTACCGACATGATAAAATATATAAATAAAAACATGAATGGAAGCAAACATTTAAAGTGATGATGTGTATGTATTTGATATACCATTTTCTCGTCTTCGGGAGTAATAACCTGGGGCCGTATTTATCAAACAACTAAGTTTTGACTTAAGAAAAAACTTAAGTTTCTTAAAACTGATTAACTTGGAATTCACAAACGGGCTAAGTCTGAAACTTAGCTAAGTCCGCCGACAAAACTAAGTCGATTTCGCCGAACGCGATCACGTGATCACTAGGGACTATCCCGGTTATTTTTAGCCTACCAGTAGAACTCTTTTTACTGAGAGACATAAAAACATCCTCGGGGGAAATTCCCGGACAGCGCAGACGATACACAAACAACATCGAATAGATACTATGGCGGATGAAATGAAGAGGCGGCCTAATTTCACAAAAGAGGAGTGTCTGCTGCTAGCGGCCAACAGAGTGGTGCTTGAGGGCAAGTTTGTGCCTGGCATCACCTCCGTGAAACGACAGGAGGCGTGGCAGGTACGTGTTCGAAGCTCCGCGATAGATCTAGTGGGTGTTCTGACGATGGATTCGTTTCACATTACCTGACTGATATAATCACACATTTACATACCCATGTCGTGGTCAATTGTTGTTTTGTTGGGTATTAATTCCCCTAGGACCTTCGGTACAAATTGCAAAACCACATACGTCATTTTACTGACATACAGAAATTACGGCAATATTAGGAAAGAATTAAATATTTGAAAATGAATACTGCAGTACACGTCTCGTTTTTCTTTATATTATTGTCTAAATAAGAGCACAAATGCACTTGATAACTAGTTCACGTGTAAAGTTTTTATGCACTGATTAAATATCTAAATGTAAATTGATGGGATTTTTCCCCATTTGATGTATTCTGTTTACATTGTAGATGATTACAGACACCCTAAATTCAAGCATCACCCACAAGAGGACCAGGGATGAGGTGGAAAAAAAAGGAAAAACTTGAAGAGTTCATCCAAGAAGACCTATTCCAAGTTCAGGCAGCAAATCATTGCCACTGGTTAACATGATTATGGTTACAGTATTATTATTAGTTATCAAAATATAAGTGTCATAAAAGGTTACATAAATGGTGTGATAAATGTCAGAAAGTGGAAAAAAGAGTTTCACTCACAATATTTCCAGACCTACATTGTAAGTTCTTGTATATACTGAATATTTTCTACCAACATAAACCTATAATTACACAATGCCATTAAGAAAGTGGTCAAAAGTAACATATGTTACACTTTCATAGTATTAAAGTGAAGTACAAATTCTAGTACTTCTGTTGGCTGGAATCCCATCCGGGACTTGAACCCATGCCCACAGAGTCAGGCACCTATCGCCAGCTGAGCGGGTTAGGCGGCTGACTTTGTGTGCTGGCGATTAGGTGCCTGACTCTGAGGGCATGGGTTCGATTCCCGGATACTCCAGCCAACAAAAGTACTAGAATCTGTACTTTACTAAGAAAGTGTAATGCCAAATATAACATGTTACAACATAAACCTACTCTATTCCAGTGTTTCATCGTAAAGTGAGTACTTACCTCCTGGGTTTGTGATATATTTCCACATAAGGCCAGACCAATTTTATTTCTGGTTTTACAGCTCTGCCTGTCGTATTTTTTTCAAGAATAAGAAAAGAAATAAAAATTAATTTTCCCGCTCAAAAACTAAAATCCTAATGTTTTATTGGCCAAATATATAAACTTTTGAGGACAAAAATCTGTGAAACAAGAAATAAGATTGGTCTGACCTAAGATAATCATATTTAAGCAATTAATCTACTCTTTTTCATTTACAGAAGGCGGACCACCTCCAACTCCGGTCAGTCCGGTCACAGATGCAGTTGTTGAGGTCATTGGGAGGGACAACTTAAGTCTTACGGGTATCTCAGACTCGTGTGATTCCACTGCCCTGCAACTGCTTGATGCCATCACTTCAAGAGAAAGGTACATGCCATATCCATTTTGATATTAATCCGTTTTATACAACACTAAAACCACTGCAATATTTTTTGTCAGGTTTCTCTAACAGCTGAGTCATTGATACCTTAGGCTAGGATTCATCTTGAACATCTGTGAAATGATGCAGCCGTAACATATACTTTTTTCAATAGTATGTCTGTGAGATGAGTTTTACTACTTTTGACTTGAGTCTTTCTCTAACTGATACATGATGAATCTAATATTCTATATTTATATTTTCCTAATATCTGAATCCTAATATATCCCTTGTAGTGGTTATAATTAATAATGAATTTTCATATGAAATATTATTCCATAACAGAAGGTTCAGCTATCTGAAAATACTGAACTTACTCAGGCCTCCACTGTTGTTAAGCAGACAACACTCGACATTTGTCACTTAGTACTTCATCAGTTCATCTTGCCCTGCATGAATTACATGAAGTCCTACAGTTTGGGGGAAATTATAATTTACATTCTTTCCCAATCTGCCTGTCAGGGTCACTTGGTTTGAAATGACTGACATGACTCTGTTTAAACATAAAACACAAGGCTCGGGATATGGAAATATTATGAACATGTATTTCATTCTCTTATGTATTTTACAAATCATGATTTTGTTGTAGCCCAATCATGGTCAGTGACGAGGTCCAGGACATGGTGAACGTTTACCACCTTCCAGAGAAGACAGCCTGTCAGTGCCAGCATCAGCCTTCTGTGGAGGCATTACAGAAAGAAAAACTGGAATTAGAGATTGAATGTTTGAAATTGAAAAGAGAGTATCATAAGAGAAGAATTAATAAACTAGAAGAATAGATTGTACAGGCACTAATGACAGTATAGGGTATATACATTGTAATTATTAGGGACCTTTCAAAATTTAAGTGTGTGTGTGTGTGTGTGTGTGTGTGTGTGTGTGTGTGTGTGTGTGTGTGTGTGTGTGGTTTTTTGATGGTTTTAAGGAGTGGTCACCCATTTTGTTCTTGGGAGGTAGGGGGGGGGTGTGTCAGTAACTGCTCACATGTACTAGGGGGGTCAGAAATTTTGTAAAAAGTGAATATTAATTAATTTATGTTAAAAGACGTGAGTGGGTAAATGACCTTGTGCATGACATGGTGGGGGGTGGCAAGTACTTTGTACTTCAATTTTAGGGGAGTCATTCACATTGTACATGCTTCTCCATGACAATCATCATTTCTTCCCCCCCTAGAGACATAAATTATGAACGGTCCCTTAGAGGTCTTGCATTTAGGAATATGAAATTAATAATCAATGCATTTCTATGACTTTCACGATAGACTTTGGAAATACGTACATTAAAAGAAGCTGATCGCAAATTGTTCCCTGTATCTGGCTCCTGATGCTGTAGGAGCAATGGCTGGCAGACCTTGCATCTGTGCCCTCAGCTCTTCAGGTTGACCGCTGCTCCCACTTGGAGCTGGCATTGGGGCATTCCTGTCCTTGCTGATATTGTGCAGCACTGCACAAGCAATTATTACCTAGGGAGATATTAAAAAAAACATAGTCAAGACACAACAAATGGTCAATAAATTTCTGTCAATTTAATTAAAAAGTAGGATGTAGAGGACTTATTGTATTTGACCAAGATATATTTAGTTTTGATACTCTATTTTAATTGATGTTCATTTCTCATCAAATAATAGCATAATGAAATGTCCCATGGAACTGATTTTAGTTGAATACCTAACCACTGGTATTCAGCAATTAATGTGGCCTTCATCTAAAAAAAAGTTATTTTGTCATAACCAATTTTTCTAGCATCATTATCTTTCCATGAATGCATTTCACATCTAATAATTTCTTGGTAAAATCCCTACCCTTACTAATCTGACACTAAGAGTATTTGATCCTGGCAATCTTTATGCTTTAATTTAGTAGCTATACAGAAAATGCCACGAATTCAGATATTTGAATATATATCTTTTTCATTTCACAAAACATTTCACGTACAATGTTCCTCTCTAAGGGTTCATAAACCTAGGATCACAGTATAAGTATACTCATATTTGATTGTCTAAACATCTTAAATATGATTCTTTTTAAATATGATTATTGAGATAACTAATTTTTATTACAGTTGAACTTTAGATTACAATAATTATCTGTCAATATTGAGTGAGGTGCTATTGACAGTAAGATCACATATATCTGACTTGTCCACCTTGTTTATGTTAGGACGGACTGAAAAAAGTGTAGACATTTTTACATTCTTGTTTGAGATTTGTTAATGTATTCATTAAATAAAAGTTATTGTTTATCTTATTAATTGTGTCGGTTTCTTTATCTACCTAATGCATATTAGGTCCTTAGGGTAGTATTGGGGGACATATATGTGTTAAAATTATGATTTAACTTCAACTTCAATGGAGTCCACAGAAAAACATTCTTATAATGCTATACCTTGCAAGCCTTCTTTGGGGAAAGTCGGATTTCTCCATGTAGTACATGAAACCGCCGCTTTAGTTGTCCAATACCTCTTTCCACACAGTTTCTGGGTTTTATACGTCATCTGAAAATTTGCAATAAATACAACTGGAATCACTAGATGATCATATAATATTTATGGGTGGCATGAAATCAAAATGGAGATATCATGATACACTTTACTTGCCCACACGTATTGTTTCATTGATAAGTCACCCAAGATGCATTTACAACAAAAGAAGTAGACATTACCCAGTGTAGGAAAGATAGCCCGTCCCAACGTCAAAATATCTAGTCCGTCCTCATGTCGGGTCAATTTTAGCAACCCAATGACATATATATAATGATTATAACCTTTTTGAATATTTACTGCCGAAGGTGTTTTATTTATATTTTGAGGACAGGCTAGATTTTGGCAGGACTGGTAAAAAATTTGACCTGCCAGTCCTGTGGACATGCTAGATTTTCTACATCTTTTCTACACTGCATTATGATTGTACGACATGTTGCCCGAATAATGCATTTAGCAAAGATATGGAAGTCTTCCATTTCTTTTTTATGTTGGAGATTGTATTTCACATAACCAAGGGAAATCACTCTATTGGTTAGTACTCGAAGCTGACTCGAAGAAATAGCAATTATACCTGTTGTAGTTTGTCTGTGATCCAGGAAGGGGACGCAAAAATGGTGTTAAAATCCACCTCCGACATGGGTAGCCGCTGTCGCCAAGCAGATGACAACTTACGGGTAACTGGTTCCCCTCAAACATCCGACATAACCTGCTTGTTGTCAAGATGCGGGAGTCATATGTTGAGCCAGGCCAACGTGCTACGATGTCGATGATCCGGTCATCGCTGTCAATCACTATCTGTGTATTAATACTGTGGTAGTGATGCCTGTTAATGAATTCATTCTCATTCACGGATGGGGCCTGAATTTGAACGTGAGTGCCATCAATGACACCTACTACACCGGGGAAGTTTGCAGTCTGATAAAATCGACGCTGGTGTCGTCTTATATCTTGGGCTTGCGTGGGAAAGGTGACAAATCTACGGACCATACGCTGACTTGTGAGTGATTGAGGCGTTTGTTCGATGACTCTTGAGATGGTGGGTTGGCTAGGTCCATGGTCAATGCCATTGCACATCCGAAATTTGCCAGTGGCAAGATAACGCAAAGTGACGAGCACTTCGGTAACGCAGGACACTGCACAACTCAGATGCGTTACGGGACTTAGATGGTGTTCTAATAAATCACAGATGTAAACAATACTGTTTCTGTCAAATCTGTACCTTTGTAACAGTTCATTATCATCTAATGTATGCAGAACTTCTCTTCTTTCATTAAATACTCTTGGAATACGTGTGACAGCCATTTTGTTTCATATGACTTAAGTCAAAAAGAGTTGATTTAAACCTACCAAGATGAGTCTTAATAGTTAAGTAAAAAAATGACAAAACTTAAGTCTAAGTCTGTTGATAAATATGACTTAAGTTTTACCACAAAACTTAAGTCGAAAAAACGTGAAAACTAAGTTTTTTAACTGACTTAAGTTTTTTTAATGACTCAAGTTGTTTGATAAATACGGCCCCTGGGGCCGTATTTATCAAACAACTAAGTTTTGACTTAAGAAAAAACTTAGTTTCTTAAAACTGACTTAGCCAAGTCAAAAACTTAAGTTGGTATTCACAAACGGGCTAAGTCTGAAACTTAGCTAAGTCCGCCGACAAAAACTAAGTCGATTTCGCCGAAAGCGATCACGTGATCACTAGGGACTATCCCGGTTATTTTTAGCCTACCAGTAGAACTCTTTTTACTGAGAGACATAAAAACATCCTCGGGGGAAATTCCCGGACAGCGCAGACGATACACAAACAACATCGAATAGATACTATGGCGGATGAAATGAAGAAGAGGCGGCCTAATTTCACAAAAGAGGAGTGTCTGCTGCTAGCGGAGCTAGTTGCGGCCAACAGAGTGGTGCTTGAGGGCAAGTTTGTGCCTGGCATCACCTCCGTGAAACGACAGGAGGCGTGGCAGGTACGTGTTCGAAGCTCCGCGATAGATCTAGTGGGTGTTCTGACGATGGATTCGTTTCACATTACCTGACTGATATAATCACACATTTACATACCCATGTCGTGGTCAATTGTTGTTTTGTTGGGTATTAATTCCCCTAGGACCTTCGGTACAAATTGCAAAACCACATACGTCATTTTACTGACATACAGAAATTACGGCAATATTAGGAAAGAATTAAATATTTGAAAATGAATACTGCAGTACACGTCTCGTTTTTCTTTATATTATTGTCTAAATAAGAGCACAAATGCACTTGATAACTAGTTCACGTGTAAAGTTTTTATGCACTGATTAAATATCTAAATGTAAATTGATGGGATTTTTCCCCATTTGATGTATTCTGTTTACATTGTAGATGATTACAGACACCCTAAATTCAAGCATCACCCACAAGAGGACCAGGGATGAGGTGGAAAAAAAAGGAAGAACTTGAAGAGTTCATCCAAGAAGACCTATTCCAAGTTCAGGCAGCAAACCATTGCCACTGGTTAACATGATTATGGTTACAGTATTATTATTAGTTATCAAAATATAAGTGTCATAAAAGGTTACATAAATGGTGTGATAAATGTCAGAAAGTGGAAAAAAGAGTTTCACTCACAATATTTCCAGACCTACATTGTAAGTTCTTGTATATACTGAATATTTTCTACCAACATAAACCTATAATTACACAATGCCATTAAGAAAGTGGTCAAAAGTAACATATGTTACACTTTCATAGTATTAAAGTGAAGTACAAATTCTAGTACTTCTGTTGGCTGGAATCCCATCCGGGACTTGAACCCATGCCCACAGAGTCAGGCACCTATCGCCAGCTGAGCGGGTTAGGCGGTTGACTTTGTGTGCTGGCGATTAGGTGCCTGACTCTGAGGGCATGGGTTCGATTCCCGGATACTCCAGCCAACAAAAGTACTAGAATCTGTACTTTACTAAGAAAGTGTAATGCCAAATATAACATGTTACAACATAAACCTACTCTATTCCAGTGTTTCATCGTAAAGTGAATACTTACCTCCTGGGTTTGTGATATATTTCCACATAAGGCCAGACCAATTTTATTTCTGGTTTTACAGCTCTGCCTGTCGTATTTTTTCAAGAATAAGAAAAGAAATAAAAATTAATTTTCCCCGCTCAAAAACTAAAATCCTAATGTTTTTATTGGCCAAATATATAAACTTTTGAGGACAAAAATCTGTGAAACAAGAAATAAGATTGGTCTGACCTAAGATAATCATATTTAAGCAATTAATCTACTTTTTTTTTCATTTACAGAAGGCGGACCACCTCCAACTCCGGTCAGTCCGGTCACAGATGCAGTTGTTGAGGTCATTGGGAGGGACAACTTAAGTCTTACGGGTATCTCAGACTCGTGTGATTCCACTGCCCTGCAACTGCTTGATGCCATCACTTCAAGAGAAAGGTACATGCCATATCCATTTTGATATTAATCCGTTTTATACAACACTAAAACCACTGCAATATTTTTTGTCAGGTTTCTCTAGCAGCTGAGTCATTGATACCTTAGGCTAGGATTCATCTTGAACATCTGTGAAATGATGCAGCCGTAACATATACTTTTTCAATAGTATGTCTGTGAGATGAGTTTTACTACTTTTGACTTGAGTCTTTCTCTAACTGATACATGATGAATCTAATATTCTATATTTATATTTTCCTAATATCTGAATCCTAATATATCCCTTGTAGTGGTTATAATTAATAATGAATTTTCATATGAAATATTATTCCATAACAGAAGGTTCAGCTATCTGAAAATACTGAACTTACTCAGGCCTCCACTGTTGTTAAGCAGACAACACTCGACATTTGTCACTTAGTACTTCATCAGTTCATCTTGCCCTGCATGAATTACATGAAGTCCTACAGTT